AAGGACAATTTTTGCCAGTTTTAAACCAGTAAAATTGGGGATGCACCTACTTTTTTTTTTTTTTTTTAACTTGCTGTGGCAAGTGGAGAAATAATCTAGATGTGAGATCAACCCAACTGAGAAGTTATATTCTCCGCATCCTATTTAGAAGAAAATCTTGAAGAGGTTTAATATATTGTCCTCTCCTTAAGCTGAGACTGTCTCACTTAAAAGATTTTAAGCATTAACTACATATTTTTAAAGATAGGTTTATAACTACCAGGCATATTTTGCACTTTACATGATCAGTGTGGATCAGAGAGCATAATTTTCTAACACTGTCAAAATCATTTCGTTCCCTTCTCCAAGCCCTATTTTCCAGTTAAAGGAAGGGAGAAATATTTCACCTTTACTCTTAGGAATAGAAGTCACTACAGTCCAGGGCAATCCATAATTTCCTAGTGAAGATATATTTGTATTCTTCAACTTTTTTGCATGTCAGTCATCTTGTACTGAGTGTACTGAGATGGAAGCAGATTTACAGTGGAATTTGGTCTGAAAAGCAGATATGCCCTGGATTGGAGGGGCCTTTTCCCCTCTATGATGTTACTCTGCTTGCCCCACTTAGGCCTCACTCTGCAGGAAACTCAGAAGTCCAAACTTACCTAATAAATGCCCTACAAGAGTAAATTAGCAGGTACTTAGAGTCTAACAAGGTCATTGTTTTTTTTTTGGGGGGAAAAGGTAATTGAAATGTTTATTTCTGCTTTTGTTATTTGAGGTTGAGTTTCAGAATTTATGCAATTCCTGATGGCTTTAGTCTGTTGTTTGCTGAATTTTGTCATCAAAGGAAGTTGCACCATCCTTTCTCTCCTTATAATAATATTATAATATAATGCATTTCAGGCTTATCTGTCCTGTTGTCATTGATGTTATCAGGAAGGCAAATTCTTTCAACTTGGGCTGCTCAGTTATTCTCAGAAAAATATATGTACATGCCCTCTGATGAAGCACATTGTTGGGTATCTGCTGGTGGTTTTTATGCATGACCTCAGTAATGGGTGCTGCACTTGTGTGTCTGAAACCAAGAGGGCAAGGACAAGATGGATTAAGACAAGTAAAGCTACTCCCTCAATTTCAGAGAGTCACTTCTAGGCTCCCTGCTTTGCCCTTGCACTCTGGGAGAGAACAGCAATGATATTTTAAGTAGGAGGAGCACTGTAGTTAATTTAAAAATTGTCTCACTCTTTGTGGTACCAGGTACTTCATTTTAATGGATATAATGGGCTAAATCTATATGAAATTTTATGAAATTAATAGGATTCATTTTCAGAGTTCAGAATCAACTGCAGGATTTCCCCCTTAACAGTCCTGGAATTTGTTTTATAAATTTCAAAACCAGTTTCTGTTTCCTTATTCAGAGGGTATTTTGGAAACTGATTTTGAAGTTTTGGAGGTCATGTCATGGCCAGATAGTAAAGTAGCAGATATACCCTTGGTTTATCATCCCCTAGTTTTATTCAAAGTCATGCACACTTTGGAAGTTCTGCTCTAGTGAATAGATGTCCTGGCCTTGCAAATAATTTCATTTATGTTGAAAAAGCAATGTTGGCAGCTGCTTCAGCAGACCGGTTTTCCCTCTTAAAAGGTGAAGTAAGGCCTTGTCCTCACAATACTTCACTGTTGCTAATACTGTAATATGGTCCCTGAGTGTGCTTTCTATGAATGTGCTCTAAATTTGAAACCTTTATTTCCTAGCTGCAAATGCCTCATGGTGTGTGAGCCTGAGAATGAATCCTCACTTAGGTCTTGCCTGTGCAATCCTATGTGCATGTGTGAGCTCTTAAACCCATCAAAGACTTCTTTTTGTGTTTTTAATTTCTAAACATCATTGCCCCAATTTTTAAGTATGGAACCTAACAAACTCATTCAGCTTTAACTCTGCTTTTACTGAAGCCTTATTTTATGAGCCCCCTAAATATCCAACACCTCCAGGGCTTCATGTGGGAATTAAAGATGCTCAGCAGTGCTGAAATATGATTTTAATAGTTTGCAGATTTTTTTCTGGTCTATATCTAAGGATAATGTAAATAATTTCCTATTGGAGCAGCAAGGTGAGTTTGTTCAAACAACTATCTTAACAAAATGTTGACAGAGGAATTTCAGCACCATTCAAATCCACAAATTCTTCTCTTTTGTTTTTAGGCCAGCAGTGGTAGTTCAGAACTGCAAGAAATTATGAGAAGACGGCAAGAAAAAATCAGTGCAGCTGCCACAGATTCAGGTGTGGAGTCCTTTGATGAAGGAAGCAGCCACTAAATGTGTTTCCTCTTTCCTTTAATTCCATTGTCTATAGCATTAAACCATCCAGCTTTGCTTTAGGAAGCAGTGAAGGGAAATGTCTTATTGTATTGTAAATGTAACTAGCCGACATAAAGAGAATTTCCAGTAGTCTCCACAGAAGTACCTGCTGCTGGCTCCTCACCATGAGAAATGAACAGATGAGAAATGCAGTGGAGATTCCTGACAGGTGAAAATAATGGTACATGATTCCTTACAGCCAAAGAGGAGTCTTGGCTTTATGGAATTAACACGACAGATAAAATGGGGCACGTCTTTGTTGGTGATTCATCTGAGGGAAGCTGAGCCAGCAATAAAAAAGCACTTGAACCCTTCAGTAATAATAAGATTCTGAATCCCATCTCTTGCTGTAGTGTGCAATTATGTCTTTTTTGGCTCAGTCTTTCTTGTCAGGCATTTGGCTGCAGGATGTTTACTTAAGTTGTCGACTCCAGCAAATGTGGAGGAAATGTTTAGGGAATGAACAGCAGCCCAACATAGACTGAATCTTTCCTGCATCACTCCCAAGATGTTTTATTACTAATGATGCTGTTTACAGCAAAATAATATTCTGTACATTGATTTTATCTGTATTTCACCTGTGATGAACTATAATATTGCACAAGAAAGAGTAACTAGAAAATAGTAACACAACCCAGCTCAAAGAGGTGATGAGATCTGCTGTAGCCATGCAACAATTCACAGTATATATTTTTTTAATATAATTGCATTTTTTGTCTGTAACTTAACCCATCAAAAAGAACAGTGTATAATCTAGACTTCTCTGTGTGTTGATCCCAGATATCAGTTTTTCCTCATGCAAAAAGCCTTTATAATTTCCTTTATAAATATAATCTTTTGGAAAAGTGGATTCCCGAAGGCAAAACAGGGGAAAAAAGAAAAGAGGAACATCCCTTCCAGAAAATGCTATTTTTGGAGATGCAATGATTTTTGTCACAAAATGTTCTGTTTCACATGGCCATGTGATTTTATATATAATATATGTATTATATATAATATATAATATCACTTAATTTAGACAAATTTAATCATCTAGTTTGATTAAGTTTCATAGTGCCTTTTCACATGAATCACCTTAAAGTCTGCAATAAACAGTATTTCTTGTCTGTTGAATTATTGTATCTTTGCGGCTACAAAGACAGTATTGAAAAAAGAAAATAATCTTGGTTTTTGCCATTAGTTTGCTTTTCCTCTGCATAAAAGGGAAAAAAATAATCTATTCTTTTTTCACACATGAAAAATTAAAATCTTAATAAAGGTGTTAGTGCCATTTATTGTAAATGTCTTCACAAATACTACTTCTGTGTGGTTGGTTGTGTGTCCATGTATGTTTTTACATTTGATACCTATTCTTTATGCCTGTCTGCATAAACATGGCCTTAATCAGAAATGGGTCAATAAGTGATGAATGCCATTACTTGTAAGTGCAGCAGGAGGAACCTTTTTAAAAGGTCTTTGAAATTCTTATTTAAAACTTAGAGTCCCTGCCTTTTCTCATGGGAAGGATGTCTGATTCTCTAAAAAGCACTGTGGTGGTAACCTGCACCTCTACTCCCCTGATAATTACCAAAATAGGAAGCCAATATTCATTCTCTCTGCTGGCTTTTATTTCAACATGCAGCACATGGTTTGCTTTTGCCCAGAAAGAGGCACCAGCTCTGGGACGTCCCAGACTCTGTGAAGTTTGGCACCTTGAGGTGTTGGGAGGAGAACTCACGTTCCACTCTGAGAGAAAAGAGGTGGCTTCACAACTGTTTGGGGTTTTTTTGTTTTTTTGTTTGTTTGTTTGTTTGTTTTTTGAAGCTGGGTTTCTGTGTAGATGTTTAGAAAGTGCCAGACAAGTCTGAACGTGCTAAGAGGCACCCTGGGAGATACTTGCGGGGAAAAGAGGAAAGCCCTTCCACACACTGAAGGGATAAGCAGAACCATGTTGGGGGTTGGTTGGTTGGTTTGTGTCTTTTTTTTCAGTTTCTAAACTATTAATGAATTAATAACCAAGTACTCCTTGAGTTCTATTTACCCTTTAAACTTTGCTGAACTAACCACTATGATTTCTGTGTTACAGTCTGGGAAATCTGAATGGTGTTAAGGCAAATATTTCCCTGTTTGCTGGAATTTCCTTGCTGCTTTAAAGCCCTGCTGCTGTGCAGTTTTTGAATTTTCATTTTGTTGGCCGTCATAAGAAATCAGAAGGAGATCTCATTTGGGGTTCCTCAAATGAAAATGAAATGTTTTCTTCAAAATATTCCACAGTTAAAAGGAAAATGGTAGTAAAATGCAATGTCTCATTCAAAATCTTTTCTCTAGGATTTGAGCAGTGAGGCTTATTTTTTCACTACTAATATTTTAGAAGGATGTGATATGTCTTTGAGAAGGAAACAAAGCATATGCCAAAATCAGTGCCTTATTAGACATTTGAGAAGTGGAAGTAATTTACTATTTTTCTGCCATCAATCTGCCTTTTTACCTGGGTGGAGGGAGGGTGTTTTAGCAGCCTGTGTTCACTCAACAGTTCCATGCTTTCAAAGCACAAACCTTTTAACATCAGCAAGGCATTTCTTCCCACTTCTTTAGGCTGCTTGTTCCCTTGGGACACCATGGGGAGAGCAAACCACTGTGAAACCTCACATTTAATTATTGAAGAACACTTCCAAACAATATTGATGGGTGGAACAATTTACTTACCATATAGCAATTCAAATGTTGCTCAGACAATCTGTGGTCTCTGGGATTTTATACAAACTTTCATTGCTCCAAAGCATTGAACTGGATAAAAATTGGTGGTTTGCTGTCTGGTTTTTTTTGTTTTGTTTTGTTTTGAGTGGGGTTGGGAAATAAGTGCATCTATGCATGACTTATGTGTGCAGGAATAAATGGTTTATGAAGCAGTAGAGATATCATATCCAAAAATATAATGATAGTCTGAAATGTGCAGAGCTCTCAGTGTGTTCATTAGTGTGAACTTCAGAATTCTGGTAATTTAAGGGAAAAAACAAAAGAATCCATGAATACCTGTAAGATGTAAATTCTTTCTAATTAGGAAAACTGTAAGTCACAGAATTTTTATTTTAACATGGGAGTGAAGGCATTTTGAGTTTTCAGTTCATAGCCAGAAGCAAGTTATGGCTTTAATACCAGACCCTGTTCAAGCAGGTATGACCACTGATTTTCTTGTATTTCAAGCATAAAGGAAACACAGTCATGAATGGGAACTCAACATTCTGGCCAAATTACCCTTTCATAGGAGCCCAGTTATTCTACTGTGTTGAGTCTGGTGTCTAAACCAGCCCTGTTTAAGGTTCTGATGCATCAAAAGTATTTGAGGGAATAGTTTTGAGATCAGTTTCCCCCCTCTACATAAAGCACCAACATTATATAGGAGAAGTTCAAATGAGAGGGAACCTATTTTGGTTCTGTGTTTAAATATTTCACAGACTTTAAATTTCTACTGCAGCTGTGACAGATTTCTACTTCCTCAGTTTTCAGACCAAAATGAGCATCAGGATATGAGTCTATACTTCAACTCCTTGGTAATATTTGCAGATTAAGAGAGGAAATGAGTGAAAATAGGGAGTCTTCCTAGAAGATTCCTAGTCCCCACTGGTGCCTGTCACAGCAGCAGCAAAGCTCAACCCACTCTGCTCCCATCCATGTCAAGAGCACTAACAACATTATTCTCTCACAAGAAATGGCTGAAACAGCAGCTTTTGCCTGCCTCAATGAAATTACAGTTTTGACACAAACCCTTCAAAAGTTAGAAGTGAGGGGCAAGTGGTGTGACTGTGGTTAAAGGAGGGAGGGAGGGAAGGGCCATTTTAGAGCATAAGATGATGATGTTGATTATTTGACAGGAGACATTCATCCTAGTTTGGTGTAGGGAAAAAGGACAAACATTAAACTGAAATAAAGCATGAATAAGGCTTCCTGACCTGTTCTTAATATTTTGGTGAGATTTGAACAAAACAGTTCTGAAGACCCAAGGATGTCAGGGCTCACTGCACAGGATGTGCTCAGAGAGGCCACACTTTTACACATGCCTGTAAAAGCTTCCTACCATTTCAAAGTCATGTTAAGTTTACTTATTTTTTACTTCTATGGCAGCACACACACAGCATGAGAAAACCTGCCCTGGTTTCAGTTAATGGTCACTCACAGCACAGAACTGCTTTTACAGACATCTGGGTCAGTAAATGCTGGAAGAGCAGCAGATCAATAAAGAGCATCAATAGTGTCAGCAGAGCTTTGGACATGAGGCTCATAATTCCAAAGATCTATTACCAAACCTGAAGCTTCAGATAGCTTCACAGCTGTGATAATGAGAGGGTTTTATTTTAGCAGATGCTGGAACCAATATTAACATGAAGCATAAGTCCAAAACATTGTTCTTTTGGACTTACACTGAAGGGGTATGATGAGGTAATGCCAAAATTATGATGCCAAAATTCAGTCTAAAAGGCTCTGCATGAGTCTTCTGAACCACAGTGTCTTCCAGGCTCATTTATTGCTTTACTCATGTCTTGAATGCTGGGAGAGGTGGTTTCCATTGCCATCCCACATGTCCACTTACACAGTCTTGCATACTGCGTGGGGTAGGAAAAGGTATTCTGATGGAATTTTCATTGTAATTGACTTTGTGATTAAGCAGCTATTAAAGGAAAAATACCCACCTGCTGCTGTGCAAATGGAAAAATTTCTAGCACTCATTCAAAAACTGTCTAGTAAATTCAGGCTGCTCACTGTCCTTTGCAACAATGTGATTTTGGCACCTTTGCAGCAATTTTGTACCCTGTCACATTCAGCCAAGCTTCTATTACAGCACTGTGATATTTTGTGGGCACAGAGATGATTTAGCAGTAACCTGCTTACCCTGGTGTGATACAGAATGAGTATTGGCTCAATAGGCAATGGCCAGCAGGAAGGAGGAGACAACAGATGAAAAAGAACATTTGTGGGTTTTTTTTTTTCTCCCAACCAGTTGTCTAAAGGGATATGAACACATTTTCTGAGTAAACATATAATGAAACTCTGAAATACATTAAAAAAAAAAAAAAGCATGGAGGCAAGGTCTAAATGGTCAAGCACTCATTTATAATTCTGTTTTCTGTTCAGTTTAGGCCAGACAACTCTTTGCTGTTCCTACTGGAATGGCAGGCCCTCCAGCTGAGGCACACCAATGAAATGAGGGAGAAATGTGCACCATTGAAGAGTTTCTTGTCAACAACTGGCTCCCTGAAACAGGGTGCTCTTCCCTTCTGCACCCATTTTGTGCTTGGAGAAACAGCATTCCGGCTCTAGGACTGGGATTAGTGGGAGCAGTGGGAGTAGCACTGGGTGCCTGGAAACAGAAGGGAGGGGAAATGCGTATCACACCCATGGAACAATCAGTGGTGGGGGTCTGTTTGTTTAGTACCCCTCACAGGACCTGCTTTACCTGGTAATTATGTTAAGTCTGTGCAGTTTTGCACAATATACACAGGACAGTTTGAAAGATGCTTTCTCCTGTAACCAATACCATAATAAAATAGTGATCAAAGAAGTGTGCACCTATTTACCTGCCAGTGGAATAACTTTGGAAGAAAAAAGAAAATCAGCTGAAAGGAGATTATCAGGCTCCTGAGGGCGGCTGAGCTACTGCCCTACACCCTGGTGCCCTGCCAGGTGATAGCAGAGTCAGGGTGAGTGAAATAAAAATCATGTGCAGGTGTGTTTGCTGTTTTGCTGACAGTGACTTCTCCACAGGTAAGCAATCCAGTGTGTTTACTTTCAGTTCAAGTCTGCTTTGTTTACATTGAGTACCATTGCTGCTAACTTCCAATGAGGTGACACAAAGCAACAGGTTACAAAAATGCCATCAAACATCCATTCTGACAGCATCCATGTCACAATACACAATGATGTACCGGCATTATACAAAGACAAAAAAAAAAAAAAAAAAAAAAAAACCCTCAAAAAAAAAAAAAAAAAAAAAAAAACAACAACACCAACAA